TTTGCTTGTGTCCCACCTGAGTCTCACTGCAGTGCCTTTCACCTGAGCCTTTCCTGATCCTCCCAGGGAGATTGTCAACGAACATGGAGTGTGCACAGGCAATTTATGTGTGTATGTGTGTTAAAGATCAGATCCTCCATTGCATTCTTAAGAAACGGATTCAGCTGACACACATGGTAGACCTCCAGAACTTGTCACTGACTTTAAGCTCATCAGCCTGTTGACATCTTGTGGTCACCAGGACATGGCATCTTTGTGGTGGAGTCAGTGGAGGGCAGAGCTGATTACTGTCCCCCAGTGTCCTTGAATACAACTGGGACACTTAGTGATGTATAATGCAATAGGCTCTGAAGGTTGTTTTTATTTTTTTTGAGTTGGAGTCTCACTCTGATGCCTAGACTGGAGTGCAGTGGCCACTCCCGGCCACTGCAACCTCGACCTGCTCGGCTCCAGCGATCCTTCCGCCTCAGCCTTCCAAGTAGCTGGAACTGCAGGCACACGCTACCATGCCCGGCTAATTTTTAAATTTATTGCAGAGATGAGGTCTTGCCAAGTTGCCCAGGCGGGTCTCGAACCCACGGGCTCAGGCAATCCACTCACCTCAGCCTCCCAAGGCATAGGGTACAGGCTGAGACACAGAGCCCGGCTCTGAGGGGGTTTTAATAGAGTGAGTGATCAGAGTCCAGGTGTGAGTTTCTGTCATTGAGTACCAGAGGGAGAGCCTGTGGGGGCAGAGGTCAGGGGTAATGGGGAGATAGGAACAGGGTGGTATCCTATAGAAAGGGCAGAACTCTAGAGTTTAATGGGGAGATATTTGCAAGTGTGGAAGTGTATATTGCCTTGAAGGGGGAGATGGAAGGATATCTTGAACGACGGATCGTGTCTGTTGTGAGGACTCAGGATAAACCAAGAAGAGAGCTCAAACTTTATCCTGGGGTCACAGGGATGGGAGGAGTGTTTGTTGCCCTGTAGCCAGATGGGGACTTGTGCACAGTGTGTCAGGAAGCACAGGGTGAAATGGGAAAGAATGGGCAGGCCTGGGTCCTTCTGAGGATCTTTCCCTGGAAACTCTCTGGAACATTCAGTGGGGGTAGGATGAGAGAAAGTGTCCCTCAGAGAAACATCAGGGTGTTTTTCCTGGCTGCTTTGTCACTAGATCAAAGTGTTCCTTTCACTTTTGAGGATGGTTAAATGTAGAATGGAAAGTGTGTAAGCAAAAATGAGCAAAGACTGGAGTTTCTGATCGACAATTATTAAGGGTTTATTGGGTGCAGGGAGAAAGGTTGATGATTTGGCATGGGGGGGACCCTTCTCCTGAAATGCCAAGGTCTAAGATTCCATGATTGGGGGAAGGGCTAGGGCCTAAGATCACTGTGCAGGGGCAATTCTCTTCTCTATGGTGGTCCCATTGTGTATGACTTGGCAGTTGTGGCTGCTGATAGATTACCTCAGGTCAGGTGTCATGGTCAGGTACTTGCTGGCTGAACACGTGTTGTTGTTGTGTTGGGACGACTGGGTGGTCGCCATGTTCTGAGTGACGGGGGTGCTGTCTATATTACAGGTCACAGACTCAGTGCCCGGTAGAAGTCACTCATGAGACATATCAGTGAGGCCTTGTTAGGTTGAATCTCATCAGATGATGATGTGAACAGAGTGAACGATGTGAGTACCTTGAGGCTAACATGTGCAGTTGGGGAGGGGCAGGAGGCTAGATGCCTGGTGTCCACTTGGGCCTCCTGACCTCAGTCTTGAGTTGGGTACAGCCCAGGTCAGGAACCTCAGGCTAGGCCTTACTACAGGAAGGTGGGGATACTGACCTCCTGGCAGAAGATCCCAGAGGGCCCAAGGACTGAGGAAAGTCAGGTTTCTTTTGGCTGGAGCTTCTCCTAACAAGTTCCCGCCTCCTCATTATCCATCTGTGCTCCCCTGATACTGGCTGGTCTAAGCCCTGTAACCCAACTTTCCTCAGGGAACTTCACTGTTGGATGATCTCCTTTGGGGGCACTCCTTTGGGTCTGTCCACTAAGGTGTCTGTCTGTTCTGTCTTCAGAATTTCCTCCCTTTGGGGGAGTGGATTTCTTGCCTGTCTGTGTCCTGGTACCACCACTTCAGACCCCATCCTATCTACACACAAAGACCTCTTCTGGGTAGGAGCATACCTGCCTGTCCTGGGCAAAAGGGCAAAGGCTACCTGCCTGTCCTGGGCAAAAGGAGGGACCCAGCTCCCAGGATCACTTTTCACAAGACATTCTTCCTTCATCTTTGTCCCCCTCCCATTTTCTCCTCCATCTTTCCATGTCTCCAGTCAAAGTCCTCCCCGAATGCTGTGTAAAGCCACCATGTAGCTGAGACCCACAGAGGACTGAACTGAGGAGACTTAGCTGTCTCTAGCATCCTTCCCAAGTTTGTGGCTCTGGTCAACCAGCCACAGTCCCCTGTTCTGCTGGTGCCTTGGTGCCTGGAGACTCTGAGGGAAGGTGTAGAACATCCCAGAGTTCAGAGTCCAGGAGAATGACCTCCAGAGATAGAGAAAGATAGCTTCCCTATGCAGAGATAGGTAAGGAGTCACTGGAATGTTCTTCTGTCCTGACCAAGTGAAGAAAAAGATGAGACAGTTTAGAGGGGTTAGAGCTAAAGACCCCAGAGAAATTCTGATCTTTGCCCTAGACAGAACAGAAAAGAGAAAAACATTTTCCCCAAGTTTCACCCTGGATTCAAAAAGAAAAGAAGGTGATACTGACCAAGGACTGTCACCCTGGTGCCCCCGCTAGACATATAGCACCATGATTCAGTCCCAAACACAAACCCTCCTGACATGACACCCCACCCAGTCCCTCTGCAGCTGTTTGGGAGGCCCAGGATCCAGCCTCCTTTTCACATGGGCTGGTGGAATCAGGGGTGTGTCAAGGGGTCATCTCTCAGAAACCTGACCATCTCGTCCTACAGGACTTAGAAATACATTCACTGCCATCACAGGAGAGGTTGAGAGATGTGTGTGGAATTTGTTTCCCAGCTCCCTGCATTCCTGGGAGGGGACTGCGTGGCCTGGGTCAGCAGGTGTCTGCTTGCCACAGAGGAGAGGTTGAGAGATGTTATAACACTGGAATGATGAAGTTGGGAAGGGATTGAGGAACTGGGAACTGTGAAGAAGGACCTGTATGCCCCCATATCCTCCACACTAGAGGTCATGACAGGATGGACTTGGAATGGAAATTATGGGGGTAGGGGAAGGATTACTTTGATCTCACAGACACAGACCCCAATACAATTTCTGAGTTTTAGCAGTCCCATCCTAAGCTCGAGTGTCCTGAAGATGCAGTGTATGTTTACTACTCATGTTCCCCTCCAGAGCCCACGAAGCAGCGGACCCCCTGCAAGGTGGGCGTGATGGATTAGAGCTGGAATGGTCCACATGGAGCTTCTCATGGTGGGCAGAGAGGTATTGGGTCCCACTATCAGTACATTTTCCTCCATAAACCCTACAAATTTGTGTGTGTGGGGGTCTCTGCTGTTCCTGCAAACTCCTTCCATTATACACAGGTGTCCTTGTCCATAGGTACTCCACAGCCTCCTGTGCTAACAAGTGTCATCGAGACAGAGTATACCACAGCATAGTGTCACTCATGGCCCATAACTCTGGATGGACATTTTCAGAGCAGGGCTTGGACACACAAGGACTTGATGTCCAGCCTTGTCTGGGTTCTACAGCTGCAGAGCTGACACCTGTGATACACAGCTGCCACCCTTCCCTACTCAATAGTGTCCCATAGTGCAGGTGCCTCTGCTGACCTCTGAGATCTGCCTGCTGTTCCTTTTCCAGAATTCCTTCCACAAGGCTCCTCTTGTCTCCTGTTTCACTCTTGGCCCAGGCAGAAAATCCTGCTCCTACCCCAAGTCAGGGCCAATCCAAGGCCCAAAGTTCAGAGACTGCAGATGCTTGGCTTCTCTTTGCTCATGTCACAAGCTGGATCTCACTCACTTGCTTCCTCTGGACCCTTCATGATCTGCCTAGGGAGACGTCCAACATGGATGTATGTGCAAGTGAATTGTGTGGCTATGTTGTGTGTGTGTTATCAATCAGATCTCCCTCTGATCTCTTAAGAGGAGGAGTCAGCTGACACCTAAGCTCATGGTGGAACTCTAGAATCTGCTAATTGTCTTTGAACTCATCATTTTGTTGATAACGTGCAGTCACTGGGACATTATGTCCTTGTGTTGGAGTTGGTGGAGAGCATAGCTGACTGCCATTCTCTAGTGTCCTTGAATATAGTTGGGTCACCCAGTGACAGTTCAAACAATAGGCTCCCAGGGGGTTTTGTAGGGTGAGTGACCAGGGTCCAGGTGTGAGGTCCTGTGAGTAGGGCTAGAGGGAGGACCTGTGGGGGCAAAAGGCAGAAACCATGGAAAGACAGAAGCATGGTGTACCCCTATGGTGAGGTCAGTGCTCAATGTTTTGATAGGGTGAGATTTATAAACGTAGAAGTGCATAGCCTCGGTGGAGGAGATGGAAGACATCTTGAATGAAACATGATGCCCACTGTGAGGGCTCAGGATAACAGGGATGGGAGCTCGGCCATTCACCAGGGGACTAGGGGCATGGAAGGACTGTTTGTCTCCTAGTACCCAGAGGTGGACTTATACACAGTGCTGCAGGAAGAACAGGAGGAGAGGTGTGAAAGAATGGGCAGGCCTGGGTCCTTCTGATGGCATTTCCTTTGTTCTGAATGACAGTAAAAGCATACCTCAGAGAAACATCAGGGTGCTTTTAATGGCTGCTTTGTCCCCAGATCAAGGGATTCTATAGATCTTTGAATACGCGTAAATGTAGAATGGAATGTATTTAAACAAAAATAAGCCAAAACTGGAGTTTCTGATTGACATGAGGATATTTATTAAGGGTTGTTGAGTGCAGGGAGAAAGCCTGATAACCTGACGTGGGTGAAAACCCTTTCCCTGGGTTCCCAAGCTCCAGGGTCCCTTGGTCAGGGTAGGGCCAGGGCCTAAGAACACTGTGCAGGGACCACTGTCTTCTCCACGGTGCTTCCTTCATGCGTGACTTCGCAGCTGCATGTTCTGTGAGATCTCCATTGGTCGACTGACAAGGTCAGGTAGCTGCTGGCCACATACTTGTTGTTGCTCTGTTTGGAGGGCTTGGTGGTCTCCATGCCCTGAGTGATAGGGGAGCCATCTACCTTCCACTTCACGGTCGCTGTTCCTGGGTAGAAGTCACTCATGAGACATGCTACTGTGGCTTTGTTGGTTTGGAGCTCCTCAGGGGATGGTGGGAACAGAGTGACTGAGGGCGAAGACTTGGGTTGACCTGTGGGAGTCAACAGAATTCATTGTCTTGTTTTTCCCCTGGGGAGCTATCTCCTCTGTATGTGGCGAGGGGTCTGCCTCTCTATGCCAGTTCAAGTCTCTTCATATGGTTAATGTTTCTCTTGGACACTTGGTCAGGTGTTCATACAACCACTCTCTGTCAGTTCTAAGAACTCTGGAGCCTGCCCGCACATGACCTGTTTTGAATCTCTAGGCTTTGGCCTCCTGCTAGACAGCGAGACCTCAGCTGCCTCCTCATGCCTCCTCCTGACATCCTGATCTGTTCTATCTGGAGCTGTCTGTCTGTCCCTTGAGCTCTCTGCATCTCTTGTTAGATGCACTCTGGGGACTTTTCTTACCTAACACGTCTGCTGTGCATTCTCTGGGTCTAACTTCAGGGCTACATTTTTACTCAGTTCTTTTTCCCCTAAAGCCTCTGCAGTAAGGTCTTTGATCATCTGAGTGAGTCTATCTGCCTGTCTTGGTCTATAGTTGTTGGTATGCATGTTAAGAGTCCCTCTATCTATGGACTGATAGGTGGGATTTATGTCTTTGATCTTGGGATCATGACTTGGAATCAGTAAACTCGGGAATCCTGCTTCATGGGGTACATCCTGCAGAGAATCACTAAGCCCTCTTCCAGAATTCTGTGTCCTTAGATGATTACTCTACTGGTTCCCTTGTGTTCAGAACTTTCCTCTCCTTCTCCCCTCCTGGTTGAGTTTTCTGAGTACAGAGCCAGCTCGGGACTTTGTGGCAGTCCATGGAAACCCGGGCAAGCCCTTCCACCTCCTACCTTGTTTCTGTCCTGGATCCAAAGTCCCTCAGCCCAGGGGACATGGCCATAACTTGTGGTTCCCCAGCTGTGACATAGAAGGTTCAGTGTCCAATAAAGTCTCCCTAGTGTTCACTCCTTTAATTCACTTGATCTCTCTTCCCATAAGAAGATGACTCAGTTTCCCTTCATAATGTGAACCAGGCAGACAAGACCCATATGGGGAGTACCAGACAGAGCAAATCCTGGAGATCCAATGACCCCCTTTCAGCCATAAATACATACATACATATATACAAACAAACAGTCAGAAAGACAGAGGAGCAGTCTCAGTAGTTCACCCTGTCTACTCTCGGCCTCTAGAGTCAAAGGTGAAGGGTTGTAGTGACCATCTGAGGTCAGTAGGTATTTGAACATGGTGGGGAGAGATTCTTGCACCAGGGAGGGAGGTCAGGGAGAATGATTGAGCACAGGCTTCACAAGATAGGTGAAAACAACAAAAAGTTGTAAATTGACCGAAACCCTGGAGAAAGCAGGGAAGGAGGAAAAAGTTGACCCTAACCTAGCACGGTCAACCTGTCCTCTTTTTAGAAGTTAATCATGGTATCTAGCTGTCCTAGGACATCTTTCTACCTGGAGAGGTTCCTGTCATTTTACGCATCAGAAGTCTCTGCCTTCAGTATCTGCTTTGGAGGTCCTCCTCCTTGTTACGATGCAGAGATGCCAACCTTTGTGCCTTAGAGCCCTGAGAGCCACACTGTGAAAAGTAACCAGCTTCTCCTGGGAGAGGGGTACACAGCACCCCGGAGTCACCTTATCACAGGACATTCTTCCTCCATCTCTGCCATTCTCCCATTTCTTCTTCCATCTCCCCATGTCTGCAGTCAAAGGCCTCTCCTCACAATGTGTAGAGCCTCCCCATAGCTTGACTCCACAGAGGAAAGAGCCCAGGAAGGCTGAGCTGTCCCCAGCATCATTCTCAAATCCAGGTTCCTGGTGCCTCCACCCCAGCTCCCTGTTCCACTGGTCCCAGGGAGCCCAGAGACTCTGAGTGAGGGAGTAGAACATCCTAATAGTCCAAAGGAGAAGGTCTGAGAGAGAGAGAGAGAGAGAGAGAGAGAGAGAGAGAGAGAGAGAGAGAGAGTTCCCGTTTGGGTAGGCTGGAGGGGTGAGGGTTGCCGACTCCTGAGAGATCCAGGCCCTTGCCCTAAAGGAAAGGAAAAAATCCTTTTCCCAAAATTTCACCCTGAATCCCCAATGAAGATAGAAAGGGAAGACTCACCAAGAACGGTCACTTGGGTGCCACCGCCGAAAATAGCACACCATGATTCAGTCCCATACAAAAACCCTTCTTACACCCCCTCCACAGCTGCTTGTGAAGCCCAGGGTTCAGCCTCCTATTCACATGGTCTAGTGGAATCAAGGGTGGTTGAATGGGCACCTCCCACATACCAGACAATCTTTTTCCAGGGTTTAGAAATCAATTTATCCCCATCATGATAAAGGTTGAGAGGTGTGTAGAATCTTTTCCAAACCCCCTGCATTCCTGGGAGGGTGCTGCACGGCCTAGATCAGCTGGTGTCCAGTTACAACGGAGGAAGGGGTAAGAGACGTTACAACACAGGGATTATAAATTTGGGACCTATTTGGGAGCTGGGAACTGTGTGGAGAGTTCTGGATGTCCCCAGATAATCCGGGGAAGTCATGACAGGAAGGGTATGGAATAGGAATCGTGGGATGTGGGGAGAGTTACATTGACCCAGGGATACTTATCCCTCTGTGAGTTCTGAGTTTGAGTGCTCCTCTCCTAAGTTCCACTGTCCTGAAGATACATTGGATGATCACCCCTCATGTTCTCCTCCAGAACCCACAAAGCAGCCACACTGGAGAATGGGTGTGCTGAATTAGTGCTGCAGTGGCCCATATGGAGCTCCTTAGGTTGTAGGAGGGGATGTGGATTCCATTGCCTGTACGGTTTCTTCAAGGAACTCTTCGAGTGAAGAGGTCTTTCTGTTCCCTCGAGCTCCTTCTGTTACAAACAGGCACTAATGTCCATGGGTGCTCCACTGCCTCCTATGTTGACAAGTTCCACCAAGATTGAGTCCACAATAGCTCAGGGTCACACATGCCACCATATGCTGGATGGACTTGTTCAGAGCAGTGCTTGAACACACAAATCCCTGGTGTCCATCCTGGTCTGGGTTCTTGATCTACAGAGCTCACACCTGTGACACACACCTGCCACTTTGCCTTGCAACAGTGTGACCCAAAGGAGGTGCCTCCACTAACCTCTGAGATCTCCCTGTTGCTTGTTTTCCAGAATACCTCTCTCAAGGCTTCTCTTGTCTCCTGACAGTCTTGGTCAGGACTAATAATCCTGCCCCTCCTCCATGTCAGGCCCAGTCCCACAGGCCTAAATCTCAGGGACTACAGATCCCTGGCTTTTCTTGGCACGTGTCCAAACCTGAGTCTCACTGCAGTGCCTTCCAACTGAGCCTTTTCTGATCTTCCCAGGAAGAATGCCAACCTATATGGACATGCGCACAGGCAATTTGTGTGTGTATGTGTGTTAAAAATCATATCCCCCACCGCATTCTTAAGAGGAGTCTGCTGACACCCACAGTTGATCTCCAGAAATTGTCACTGCCTTTGAACAAATCAGCATTTGACAACTAGTGACCACCAGGAGTTACGTCCTTGTGGTGAAATCAATGGAGAACAGAGCTGATTGCTGTCCACCAGTGTTTTTGAATACACCTAGTCAGCTTAGTGATGTGTATAGAAATAGGCTCTGAGGGCATTTTATGGACTGAGTGATCAGGTTCCAGGTATGGGTTTCAGTATTGGGAACCACAAGGAGAGCCTGTGGGGGCAGAGGTCAGGGTCATGGGGAGACAGGAACAGGGTAGGTCCCTATTGAAAGGGGAGAACTCTAGATTTTGATGGGGAAAGATTTATAAGTGTAGAAGTATATGTAGCCTTGGAGGGGGAGGCGGAAGGACACCATGAAAGAAGGACTATGTCCACTGTGAGGGCTCAGGATAACTAAGAAGAAAGCTCAGACATTATCCTTGGGCCATAGGGATGGAAGGGATATTTGTCCCCCTGTCGCCAAAGGAGGACATGTACACAGTGTATCAGGAAGCACAGGGTGAAGTTGGAAATAATGAGCAGGCCTGGGTACTTCTGAGGGTTTTTCCATGGTAACATCCTCTGGAACATTCAGTGGAGGAAGGACGACAGAAAGTATCCCTCAGAGAAACATCAGGGTAGTTTTCCTGGCTGCTTTGGCAGTAGATCAAAGGGTTCCTTTCACTTTTGAGGATGGTTAAATGTAGAATAGAAAGTGTGTAAGCAAAAATGAACAAAGACTGGAATTTCTGATTGACAATGAGGATATTTATTGAGGTTATATTGGGCGCATTGAGAAGGGTTGATGATTTGGCAAGGGGGGCTCCTTCCCTTGGGCTGCCAAGCTCTGAGATTCCATGGGTTGACGAAGGGCCAGGGCCAAAGAACACTGTGCAGGGGAAACTTTCTTCTCTACGGTGCTCCCATTGTGTGTGACCTGGTAGCTGTGGTTGCAGCTAGTTTTCCTCAGGTCACAGTCATGGTCAGGTCCCTGCTGGCTGTGTACTTGTTGTTGCTCTGTTTGAGGACTGGGTGGTCTCCACACACCGACTGACCGGGGTGCTATCTACCTTACGTGTCACAGACACAGTTCCCAGAAGTCACTCATGAGAAACACCAGTGTGGTCTTGTTGGTTTGAATCTTCTCAGATGATGTTGTTAACACAGTGAATGAGGGGTTTGTCTTGGGGCTGACCAGTGCAATTGGGGAGGGGCAGGAGTTTAGATGATTGGAGTCCACCTGGGCCTCCTGACCTCAGTGTTGAGATGGGTACAGCCCAGGTCAGGAACCTCTTTCTGGGCCTTGTTACAGGAGGATGGGGGTACTTACCTCCTGATAGAATATGCCAGAGAGACCAAGGACTGAGGAAGGTCAGGTGTCTTTTGGCTGGAGCTTCTCCTTCAGGTTCTCACCTTCTCTTTACCCACTTGTGCTCTCCTGACACTAGATAGTCTAAGCCCTGGAACCCAATTTTCCTCAAGGAACTTCTCTGTCTGATTATCTCCTTTGGGGGCACACCTTTGGGTCTGTCCAGAAAGGTATCTGTCTGCTGTCTTCAGAATTTCCTCTCTTTTGGGATTGAACTTGTTGACTATCTGTGCCCTGGTACCACCACTGCAGATCCCACACTGTCTGCCCACAGGGACCCCTTCTGGGCACATGTATAATCCTGGGTTCTGTTTCTGGGGAGTCCAGGAAATTGATAGCTTCCACGTGTGAAATATTTTGTGTTTAGAGCCTGGACTTGTGCTCGTTCCCAGTTGTCTTCTTATCATAAGTTATACCATAAATCTAGTTATCCAGGACATCTTTCTGCCTGGAGAGGTCCCTCTCATCTATGCCTGTCAGGAGTTACTTTTCTCAGCATCTGCAGTTGTATCCCTCCTTTTAGTTGGGATGTGAATGTGCCTATTTTTGTGCCTGAAAGTCCAGAGACCCACACTTTCAAAGGCTACCTGCCTGTTCTGGGGATAGGGAGGGACTAAGGTCCTGGGGTCACCTTTTGCAGTACATACTTCCTTCATCTCTGTCACTCTCCCATTTTCTCCTCCATTTCTCCATGTCTCTAGTCAAAGGCCTCCCCTCATGCTTTGTAAAGCTTTTATGGCATTCACTTTGGGGACTTGGTCAAGAATTTGTTGCTTACTCTGATGTGCATAAGGGTGTTTTCTATGTTTTCTTCTAGGATTCTTTAGTTTGAGATTTTAAATTGAGGTCTTTGGTTCATTTACAGTTGATTTTTGTATATGGTGATAAGTAGGGGTCTAGTTTCATTCTTCTGCATTCATACAAACCAGAAATCACTCTCCTGGGGATATACTTGTGACCCACAGAGTACTGAACCAGGGAGGCTTAGCTGTTTCAGGCGTCCTTCCCAAGTTTGTGGCTCTGGTGTACCAGCCACAGACCCCTGTTTGGGTGGTTCCTTGAGTCCTGTAGGAAGGTGTAAAGCATCCCAGAGTCCAGAGGAGAATGTTACCTAGAGAGAGTGAGAGAGTGGGCTTCCCTGTGCCGGGAGTAGGAATGAGTCACTGGGAATTTCTTCTCCTGTCCTGACCAAATGTGTGAAAAGATGAGACAAGTTGGGGTTAGGGTTGTAGATCCCAGGGAAATTCAGACACTTGGCCTAGTCGGAACAGAAAAGAGAAAAACATTTTCCCTCAGTTTCACCCTGAATGTAAAAACAAAGAATGGTGAGACTTACCAAGGACGATCACCCTGGTGCCTCTGCTGGACACATAAAAGCATGACTCAGACCCGAACACAAACATTCCTGACATGACATCCCACCCTGTCACTCTGCAGTTGCCTGGGAGGTCCAGGATCCAGCCTCCTTTTCACATGGGCTTGTGGAATCAGGTGTGTGTGAAAGGGTAGTCTCTCACAGACTTGGCCAGCTCTTCCTTCAGGACTTAGAAATCCATTCACTGCCATATCAGGAGCAGTTGAGAGATCTGTGTGGAATCTGTTTCCTAGCTTCCTGCATTTCTGGGAGGGGACAGGGTGGACTGGGTCAGCAGGTGTCTGGTTGCCACAGAGGAGGGGTGAGAGAAGTTATAACACTGGAATCATGAAGCTGGGAAGGCTTTGAGGAGCTGGGAACTGTGAAGAGGGTCCTGGATGCCCCCATATCCTCCACACTGGAGGTCGTGACAGACAGGGTTGGATTGGGAATTATGGGAGTACGAGGAGGTTGCATTGACCCCACAGACATAGATCCCAATGAAAGGTATGAGTTTGAGCGGTCTCATCCAAAGTGTGACTGACCTGAAGATGCAGTGTATGGTTACTGCTCATGTTCCCCTCCAGAGCTCACGGAGCAACAGAGCCCATGCAGGCTGGGCGTGCTGGATTAGAGCTGGAGTTGTCCACAGGGAACTTCTTATGGTGGGCGGAGATGTCTCGGGTACCACTGTCAGTACATTTAGCTCCATAAAATCTACAAATGTTTGTTTGTGTGTTTGGGTTGCTGCCCATCCTGCAAGCTACTTCCATTGCACACAGGTGCTCTTGGGCATAGGTATTTCACAGGCTCCTTGTCTCACAAGTGTCACAAAGACAGAGTATACGACAACCTAGCGTCACTCGTGGCACCTAATGCTGCATGGACATTTTCAGAGCAGGGCTTGGACACAAAAGGCATGTGTGTCCATCCTTGTTTGGGTTTGATACCTGTGGAACTGACACCTATGATACACACCTTCACCCTGCCCTACCCAACAGTGCCCCACACAGCAGATGCCTCTACTGTCTTGTGAGATCTGCCTGCTGTTCTTTTTCCAGAATCCCTTCCTCAAGGCTCCTTTTGTCTCCTGTTTCACTATTATCCAGGCAGAAAATCCTGCCCCTCCCTTAAGTCAGGGCCAACCTCAGGCCCAAAGCTCAGAGACTGCAGATGCTTGGCTTCTCTTTTGCTCCTGTCCCAGCTGGGTCTCACTGACTTGCTTTCTCTGGACCCTTCATGATCTTCCCAGGGAGATGCCAAACATGGTAGCATGTGCAAGTGAATTGTGTGTTTATGTTGTGTGTGTTATCAATCAGATCTCCCACTGCATTCAAAAGAAGAGGAGTCAGCTGACACCTCAGCTCATGGTAGAACTCCAGAACCTGCCAATTAACTTTGAACTCATCAATCTGTTGGCAACCTGCAGTCACTGGGACATTATGTGCTTGTGGCCGAGTCAGTGGGGAGCAAAGCTGACTGCCGGCCTCTAGTGTCTTTGAATACAGCTGGGCCACCCAGTGACATGTGAAACAATAGGCTTCCAGGTGGTTTTGCAGGGTGAGTGACCACAGTCCAGGTGTGAGGTCCTGTGAATGAGGGCTAGAGGGAGGGCCTGTGGGGGCAAAAGGCAGAAACCATGGAAAGACAGAAGCATGGTGTACCCCTATAGTGAGGTCAGTGCTCAATGTTTTGATAGGGTGAGATTACAAATGTAGAAGTGCATAGCTTCGATGGAGGAGATGGAAGACATCTTGAACGAAAGATGATGCCCACTGTGAGGGCCCAAGATTACAGGGATGGGAGCTGGACCATTCACCTGGGGACTAGGGGCATGGAAGGGGTGTTTGTCCCTTAGTACCCAGAGGTGGACTTATACACAGTGCTGCAGGAAGAACAGGAGGAGAGGTGTGAAAGAATGGGCAGGCCTGGGTCCTTCTGATGGCTTTTCCTTTGTTCTGAATGACAGTAAAAGTATCCCTTAGAGAAACATCAGGGTCCTTTTAATGGCTGCTTGGTCCCCACATCAAAGGATTCTGTTGATCTTTGAACATGCGTAAATGTGGAATGCAAGATATTTAAGCAAAAATAAGCCAAGACTGGAGTTTCTGATTGACATGAGGATATTTATTGAGGGTTGTCGAGTGCAGGGAGAAAGGTTGACAAACTGGCATGGGTGAAAACCCTTTCCCTGGGTTCCCAAGCTCTAGGCTCCCTTGGTCAGGGTAGGGCCAGGGCCTAAGAACACTGTGCAGGGACCACTGTCTTCTCCACGGTGCTTCCTTCATGCATGACTTCGCAGCTGCATGTTCTGTGAGATCTCCACTGTTCAGGTGACAAGGTCAGGTAGCTGCTGGCCATGTACTTGTTGTTGCTCTGTTTGGAGGGCTTGGTGGTCTCCACGCCCTGAGTGACAGGGGAGCCGTCTACCTTCCACTTCACGGTCGCTGTTCCTGGGTAGAAGTCACTCATGAGACACGCTACTGTGGCTTTGTTGGTTTGGAGCTCCTCAGGGGATGGTGGGAACAGAGTGACTGAGGGCGAAGACTTGGGTTGACCTGTGGGGGTCAGGGAAGAACAGAATTCATTGTCTTGTTTTCCCCGTGGGGAGCTATCTCCTCTGTATGTGGCAAGGGGTCTGCCTCTCTATGCCAGTTCGAGTCTCTTCATATGGTTAATGTTTCTCTTGGACACTTGGTCAGGTGTTCATACAACCACTCTCTGTCAGTTCTAAGAACTCCGGAGCCTGCCTGCCCATGGCCTGTTTTGAATCTCTAGGCTTTGGCCTCCTGCTAGACAGCGAGACCTCAGCTGCCTCCTCATGCCTCCTCCTGACATCCTGATCTGTTCTATCTGGAGCTGTCTGTCTGTCCCTTGAGCTCTCTGCATCTCTTGTTAGATGCACTCTGGGGACTTTTCTTACCTAACACGTCTGCTGTGCATTCTCTGGGTCTAACTTCAGGGTTACATTTTTACTTAATTCTTTTTTCCCTGAAGCCTCTGCAGTAGGGCCTTTGATCATCTGTTTGAGTCTATCTGCCCATCTTGGTCTTTAGTTGTTGGTATGCATGTTAAGAGTCCCTCTGTCTATGGACTGATAGGTGGCATTTATGTCTTTGAGATTTTGGGATCATGGCTTGGGATCAGTAAACTCAGGGAATCCTGCTTCATGGGGTACATCCTGCAGAGACTCACTAACCCCTCTTCCTGAATTCTGTGTCCTTAGATGATTACTCTGCTGGCTCCCTTGTGTTCAGAACCTTCCTCTCATTCTTCTCTCCTGGCTGGGTTTCCTGAGTACAAGGCCAGCTCGGCAGCCCATGGAAACCCGGGCAAGCCCTTCCACCTCCTACCTTGTTTCTGTCCTGGATCCAAAGTCCCTCAGCCCAGGGGACATGGCCATGACCTGTGGTTCCCCAGCTGTGACACGGAAGGTTCAGGGTTCAATAAAGTCTCCCTAGTGTTCACTCCTTTAATTCCCTCGATCCCACTTCCCATAAGAACATGAATCAGTTTCCCTTCATAATGTGAACCAGGCAGACAAGACCCAGATGGGGAGTACCAGACAGAGCAATTTATGGAGAGCCAATGACCCCCTTTCAGCCAGCCATTCATACATACATATATACAAACAAACAGTCAGAAAGACAGAGGGGCAGTCTCAGTAGTACAGCCTGTCCACTCTCGGTCTCTAGAGTCAAAGGTGAAGGGTTGTAGTGACCATCTGAGGCCAGTAGGTATTTGAACATGGTGGGGAGAGATTCTTGCACCAGGGTTTGAGGTCAGGGAGAATGATTGAGCACAGGCTTCACAAGATAGGAGAAAACAGCAAAAAGTAGAAAATTGACCCAAACCCTGGAGAAAGCAGGGAAGGAGGAGAAAGGTGACACTAACCTAGGACGGTCAACCTGTCCTCTTTTTAGAAGTTAATCATGGAATCTAGCTGTCCTAGGACATCTTTCTACCTGGAGAGGTTCCTGTCATTTTTCCTATCAGGAGTCTCTGCCTTCAGCATCTGCTTTGGAGGTCCTCCTCCTTGCTAGGATGCAGAGATGCCAACCTTTGTGCCTTAGAGCCCTGAGAGCCACACTGTGAAAAGTAACCAGCTTCTCCTGGGAGAGGGGTACACAGCACCCCGGAGTCACCTTATCACAGGACATTCTTCCTCCATCTCTGCCATTCTCCCATTTCTTCTTCCATCTCCCCATGTCTGCAGTCAAAGGCCTCTCCTCACAATGTGTAGAGCCTCCCCATAGCTTGACTCCACAGAGGAAAGAGCCCAGGAAGGCTGAGCTGTCCCCAGCATCATTCTCAAATCCAGGTTCCTGGTGCCTCCACCCCAGCTCCCTGTTCCACTGGTCCCAGGGAGCCCAGAGACTCTGAGTGAGGGAGTAGAACATCCTAATAGTCCAAAGGAGAAGGTCTGAGAGAGAGAGATAGAGAGAGAGAGAGAGAGAGAGAGAGAGAGAGAGAGAGAGAGAGAGAGAGAGAGAGAGTTCCCGTTTGGGTAGGCTGGAGGGGTGAGGGTTGCCGACTCCTGAGAGATCCAGGCCCTTGCCCTAAAGGAAAGGAAAAAATCCTTTTCCCAAAATTTCACCCTGAATTCCCAATGAAGATAGAAAGGGAAGACTCACCAAGAACGGTCAGATGGGTGCCACCGCCGAAAATCACACTGTGATTCAGTCCCATACAAAAACCCTCCTGACATCCCA